TCTTCTATGAGGTTATGCACTGATTTCAGAAAATTGAATTCTCTCACAATCAAGAATAAATTCCCTATACCTGTAATTGAAGACTTGCTGGATGAGTTACATGGAGCAAAGTTTTTCTCCAAAATTGACCTAAGATCTGGTTATCACCAAATCAGAATGAAGCCAGAGGATATCCATAAAACTGCCTTCAGAACTTTCCTTGGACATTTTGAGTATTTGGTAATGCCATTTGGGTTGTCCAATGCACCAGGCACCTTTCAAGCACTGATGAACCAAATATTCAGTCCATATCTGAGGGTGTTTGTCCTAGTGTTCTTTGATGACATCTTGATTTACAGTAAAACATTGAAAGAGCATGAAGAACATATCAGGATTGTGCTGCAAGTGCTCAAAGAAAATCAGTTGTTTGCAAAACTCTCTAAATGTGTATTTGCTGAAAAACAAGTGGAATATCTGGGGCACATTATTTCTGCTGAGGGAGTGGCTACAGATCCCAAGAAAATCTCTGCAATTGCTGACTGGCCTGAACCTGATAATGTCACTAAACTCAGAAGTTTCCTGGGATTAGCTGGTTATTACAGGAGATTTATTAAGAACTATGGATTGATTTGTAGGCCACTGCATGATCTCTTAAAAAAGGGAAAGTTCTCATGGGAACCAGCTCACACTACAACATTCTCTCAACTCAAGCAAGCACTTATATCAGCTCCAGTTCTGGCATTGCCAAATTTCTCTAGCCATTTGTGCTAGAGACTGATGCATCAGGAAAAGGAATTGGAGTTGTACTTATGCAACAAGGAAGACCACTGACTTACTACAGCTCAGCTCTATGTCCTAGAAATGCTGCTATGTCCACTTATGAAAAAGAAGCCCTTGCCATACTGGAAGCATTAAAGAAATGGAGGCATTATCTTTTGGGAAATGAGGTCATAATTAAAACAGACCAACAATCCTTGAAATTCATAACAGATCAGAAACTGACTGAAGGAGTTCAGCACAAGTTAGTGATGAAATTACTGGAATTTAACTTCACAATCCAGTATAAGAAGGGAGCTGAAAACAGAGTGGCAAATGCACTATCTAGGTTATTACCTAAGTGCATGGCCATATCTTCTCATATACCAACTTGGACAGAGGAACTAGTGGATAGTTATTTGAAAGACCCTGCAAGCAAAACACTGCAAGAGAAGTTGTTGTTGCAAAAAGATGATTATACCATGCACTCTGGTATTATCAGGTTCAAAGGAAAGATTTTAATGGGAAAGGTCACTGAGTTGAGAAATAAATTGCGTGCAGCTCTTCATAGCTCTCATGTTGGAGGACATTCTGGTGTTAGAGCAACTTACCAGAGAGTTAAAGGAATTTTCTACTGGCCTGGGTTAAAAACTGATGTAGAAAATTTCATTGCTGCCTGTCCTACTTGTCAAAGAGCTAAAAGTGAACACTGTTTGCAGCCAATATTATTGAAACCCTTACCAGTTGCTGATATGGCCTGGGAACACATTTCTATGGATTTTATAGAAGGCTTACCAAATTCTGGAGGCAAGGAAGTGATAATGGTAGTGGTGGATAGATTTACCAAATATGCACATTTTATTCCATTATCACATCCTTACTCAGTGCTAACAGTAGCTCAAGCAGTGGTGGACAACATAATCAAACTTCATGGCACACCAAAACTGATAATCTCTGACAGAGATAGGATCTTCACTAGCAAGCTCTGGAAGGACATCTTTGCAGCTTTGAAAGTGGAGTTAAGATACAGTTCAGCTTACCATCCCCAAACAGATGGACAGACTGAGAGGGTTAATCAATGTCTGGAAACTTATCTCAGATGCATGACAACTCAGGAACCAAAGAAATGGAGTGCTTGGCTGCCCTTAGCTGAATTTTGGTACAACTCCACTTACCACACGGCTCTAAAAATGTCACCCTTCCAGGCATTGTATGGTTTTCCTCCCCCCTTGATTGCTGAGTTAGCAATACCAGGTCCAGAGGATGCAGAAGCTCAGGATTTCTTAACTGCAAAACAGAGCATGTTGGACCAACTCAAGACAAATCTGTCACAAGCTCAGAGCAGAATGAAAAGATTTGTTGACATGAAAAGAGTGGAAATAAGCTTTCAAATTGGGGATTTAGTATATCTCAAAATGGCACCCTACAGATTCGCAGCATTTGGGTTCCGAGGAGCAATCAAATTACACAACAAGTACTATGGGCCTTTTCTGGTAACTCAAAAAGTGGGCAAAGCAGCATACAAGCTTCAGTTTCCACCACATGTGAAAATTCATCCAGTTTTTCATGTCAGCCAACTAAAGAAGCACATTGGAAGCAAAGCAATTCCTAGCCCCAATCTGCCTATGGTGAACGAGGATGGTACTGTCAAAACTGGACCAGTGGCAGTGTTACAAGTCCGGCAAGTACCTAGAAACAATCTTCCAGTTGTGCAGTGGTACATACAGTGGGAAAACCTCTCTCCAGCGGAAGCAACTTGGGAAGATGTTGATTTTATCAAGTATACATTTACGGAGTTCTTCAAGGCAACATCACAAGCATGGCGAGACGCAAATCAAACGCCCTGAGGACATGTCGTTTCTGAGAAGGGGGCAATGGCATGACTGAACTTGCAAGTGTCGTGTCGTTAAGATTCAGTTATCCAACGGTCCAGAGTACTCCTCGCGATACCGCTTCGTCGAGAGCCGTAGATTCATTTAACTGTACCGTTATAAAGTAGTTACTGTTACTTTTCACTTGTCGGTAACTAGTTGCCTATATAACCAGCCGGGTTGTGGCTGGCAGATCATCTCTCGATTATTCCAGACTCACCTAGATGGCTTGCGATATACTCAAACCTTAAGCAATAGCAAATATCTCAGATCTGAGGTTTTCTCTACATCCAATTCTCGTGATTCTCCTCACTTAAATCCGCATAGGCATAGATCGGTCCTGACAGCGCCCTCCTCTGCGCTTCCTCTCCAAGTACCCTCTGCTGCCGCGTGCTTGTCCTCCGTGTGTTGCCGGTGAGATTTCCTTCTCTCTTTTGCTCTCTTCCAGGGTCCTGTTCTCTTCCTCACTACTCCTCTTCTTCCTTCAATCTCTCCTGTTCAGCACCGTGGAGATGGGTACACGAACTAGGCAGGCCACGGGACGACAGCTGCTCTAGCACCCACCTCGTGAGGAGGGGTTGAGTACAGCTCCCAGTTCACGGAGGAGATGCCAGCACAGGTGAACTCTTTCTTTCTACTTTCCCCATCTTCCCATGGTGCCCTGAGCTCTCCCTAATTTTTTTACGGTTTGGTGGCAGAAGTCACTGGATGCATGCCCAAGAAGCCCAACACGGCCAGGTGAGTGTATTTTAGATACCTGATATATATAACAACACAAGTTGTTATCCAATATGCGAAGAAACATATGTATTTTTTTGTACATTTTATGGTTACATTGATACTGTTCTCCTGCAATTGTTAATAGCCTTAGACATTATTGGTCAACTGGAAATTTAAAAGTCAAAAAATCTCTGTCGAAATTGAACTGGTGTGATTTACAACTCCAACGTTGGAACATGCCATCTTCCACTAGCTATTACAACTTACTGGAAGGCCTTGACAAAAATATTCTCTGTCGAAATTGGACTGGTGTGATTTACAACTCCAGCATTGCAACATGCCATCTTCCACTAGCTATTACAACTTACTGGAAGGCCTTGACAATGAACAGAGATAACTAAGATGGATAGTAAGTGGAGTACAATATAGGAAATGTGCAGATGAGAAATAGCTAATACCTTCGACATATTTATCATATGATTATTGTTTTCTTTAACCCAAAACAGTCGAGCATGGCTCCACTGCATTTTTATGAAATTGTGACAATATGATTACTATTTGAACACTTTTAGTCTGATGCCATTCTTTTGTAAAAGAGTGATCTTTTTTTGTTTACTATTTACTTTGTCTGAATTTAGTATCTACTCTGTCCAGCTATATCATTTCAATGTCATCAGATTTAGGTTCGCATGGTAGCTAAAGAAAATGAAAAGTCAGCCACCATATGCCAATGCCACTCCTATTCCCAGTGATACAACATCTAATATTATCAGCTAATCAATTTCATGAGTGATATCGTACTATATTTCTAAAACAGAGAGGTCTGATTCTGATGTGGTGTGAGGCAAATTTCAGTTTAGTACAATTCTGGAAGAGTTCTACTTGACTGTCCTGGGTCCCGAAGTACAGAGCAGTGACACTTCATAGATCATGGGAACTAACATAGTTTTTTATGTTTCCCAGTTGGAAAAATGCACTACTACGTACACGTCTAGCTTGCTTCTCACATACTGAAATTATTGATATTCAATAGTTGAACCTACCAAGTAGTAATTTGCAATTTTCTTCTTATATACAACACTTTGTTCTGTAGGATTTTCCAATTTGTCATTCTAACCAAGACAAACCATTTTTCAGGTTGACATTGTTGGAGTAAGTTGCTATTCTTCAAAGGACCTGTGGTCTTGGAGAAACGAAGGAGTTGTGCTCCATGGCGAGGAAAATAATTTGTCACATGACCTCCACAAATCCAATGTCCTGGTGCGACCCAAGGTGGTCTATAACAACCGGACCAGCAAATACGTGATGTGGATGCACATAGACGATGCGAACTACACCAAATCCTCAATCAGCGTGGCGACAAGTGATTCTCCCATGGGACCATTCACTTATCTCTACAGCAAGCGCCCACATAACTACGAAAGCAGAGACATGACCATTTTCAAGGATGATGACGGGAAGGCCTACCTGATATATTCATCCAAGGGCAACAACGAGCTCCACATTGCGCAGCTAACCGATGACTACCTCGACGTGACCGACGGCATGCGAAGAATTCTCGTCGCACGGTATCGAGAAGCCCTCACGCTCTTCAAGTTCCGCGACACCGACTACATGATAACCTTGGGTTACACCGGCTGGGCACCGAACACTGCAAGGTGAAGAAAAATTCAGATGGGAAACTACACATATATACTGTATGCTATACAAATATTGCAACATACATGGGTGCCAATGCGGATGTCGATGTTGCCTATTGTATGTTTGTTGATTCTGTTTGAGGCACATATGTTTGTTGATTCTGTTTCTGGGTTGGCCCTTGAGGGGGAGAGGAAAGCAAACTTCAGCATGCTTCAGGTGCATATCCTCTGTTCCTTGTGCTCGTCTCCCTAGATAATTTGGAGCATTGTACGTTTTGTTAAATATGATTAATTACTTAGTTTAATGGCAGTTGTGAAATGTAGAGCACATCCGTGCTTGGTTTTACTTCATTAGTAGCTGGCATTCAGTAATTAATATGAAAGTATTTGTGAAAGTTAGGCCCAGAGAAAGTGTGCCCTGTTTTTCGCAGATAACTGCTTCTTGTTATATACTATGACCAAATTCAGTAGGCTTGTACAATAAGCTTCATTGATTCACTTACAAAAGCTGAACTGCTGTTGTGTTAATGCATTATAGTCATCCTTAAAGACCTTGTGGTTGGTTGCCATGTCTGCCAAATAATTGCTTGCTGAAGCACTGGTCCTAAACCTATAGTTAGGCTCATGACCTGTTCATTGATCCGTCTGGCTGACAATATTTATCTGCCATTGGCAGATTTCTGCTCTTTGGCTGGCAATGGTCCGAATGGAGGTCAAACTAGCATTCCCCCAGGACAGACTGCCACTTTCCGTCATTTCGGCTGCAAAGATTGCAGGTGTTTCCGTAATCATTGATCCGACCCTTGCCTCAGGTTCAGTGCCCACACTACACTTCAGTTCTGGGTAAGTGATCAATGTTTAATTATACCTTTTAGGTTCCCTCCCTCTCTCTGATTAACTACCACATTTCCTTTACTTTATACAAGAACTGTGGACACTTTATTATAGTGATATATGTTTGAATAGTTTTTTTGAAGAGCTATATATGTTTGAATAGTTACTGTAGTTGACTCTGAAGATTGGCTCTTATTTTAATCTCCTCATCCTAATATTCCTGGTTCCAGAAAATTGTGTTGATGGCACTGACGACTGTTAGAACATCATGTGTGAACCAAAAGAGTTTTATTTGTGAGATATGACAGTATTTTTGTATGGTATTTTGTAGTGTCTCAATGAAGCTATCATGATTTTGCACAGGGATTTTATACATGGTGTCAACACAATTCTCCGATACATTGCACGTGTTGCATCTATTTCCAGCTTCTATGGCCAGGACGATATTCAGGCAGCACAAGTATGTTCTGGTTTTACGGTGTTTGTCATTGATTTTCACTATGATCTCACTGTGTCCTGAGTTGCTATTGTTTGCAAATCTGTAGGTTTACCAATGGCTCAAGTACACACCACTCATTCTCTCAGGCTCTGAATTTGAAGCTGCTTGCTCATTTCTTGATGGATACTTGGCAAATCGAGCCTTTTTGGTTGGTTATGGTCTATCAATTGCTGACATTGTCGTGTGGTCAAATCTCACAGGTAATTTACCTGGCTTCTTTCATCATTGAGTAATTTATTGGTCTCTCCCTCTCTTTTTGTCTTGCCTTAAGAGGTCACAACTCTTTTCTTCAGGAACCAGTTTTTCTTGTATCACCATGCAGTACCGTGCCGATTCAATATGACTAATTTACTTGAACTAATGCCTTAGTATGTATGTTAATAATTTGTGCAGGTCACCATGGTTCCATTGTCATATCATTCCTCATATGCTTCTGTTTAGCATCACAAAAGAAGAAGGCCAGAGTTATTTCTTCCTTTTGGATATTTTCCATCATAACTAGCAGCCAATCTGAGCCGAATATCTGAAGCAATTTCCGTAAGTTAAGTTCCGGTGCTCCTATATTTGAACTAGAATCTTAGCGCTTATTTTGTCCACGTCAAGGTTTCTTTGTGTGCAATTGAAAATTATGTGAGAACTGGGTTTTTACTCCAATACCCCAATTTTAGCAGATATTGAAAACCTCGAGAGTTTGGTGCCATTTGTCACGCTTGTATACTTAATGCTATTCTTTGTGTCTTCAATAATGTCTCACCATTTGTACAACTCAAAAGAGGATTTCCCATGAACATTTTAGCACTGCTCTTACCTATCGATCAAAAAATGTTATTCTCTACAGGTTAAATTTGTTTGAAGATGATACTATGCAAGATGCGTAAGCTGGGGATGGCATGGCAGTGCATGCTGATGCTGTCGGTCAAGAAGTACCATACCGGTGAGTACTCCCTCTAGGCCGCTTCTTCGATTTGCTCTTGTTGAATGGCAAGTTTATGCTGGACTAGGATCAGATTCATGGCGTTTGGTGCATCCGCACTAAACTTCTTGCTGGATTTGGTAGGGAGAGATATCCTTTGGTTTCTAAGTAAACTTGAACAATGATGTAGCTTCCCAAATTTCTCTACACCCAGGCAAATTTTAGCATGGTCCCTCTCTCATCATTCAAATATTTTGTGATGCCTATGCCTCCGTTCTTATCTTCTGGAATAATTTAAGATCAACACAGTGATTTGAAAATGCAAACAAGCACAACCGGATGTTCCATGTCGATTGGTATATTTATTTCTCTTTTAGATTCCCCTAAATGAAAGTTGCAATGACGCTTGATTATTGTATATACTAATATGGTGGGCTTGTTAGGTTCAATTTGTGGTGGCATTCGGTTCTTTGTACAATTCTGCTGAACGCTAAAAGAATTAGCTTATTTAATTTCTTCCATTTGTTGTGCCTGCCACTGATATTCTCTATGGTTCCCTTGGTTGCCGCTCTTGCCTTCCCTGCCAATGCTTCCTCTTGCCATGCTAGCCATGTGTGGCCTCACCTTTGTTCATCAATTCGTGCGCAGGTATGGATCGGTGATGTTGTCGATGCCCATAGAGCCATTGCCTCATGCATGATGTGTGTTTTGTGTGTGCCAGTTTGCCGGTTAGTGAGTGATAATATTTGGATGGATGTTTCATCGGTGTAGCAAGTGATCAGCAATAGACAGCTCTTACTTTTGGATTGAAGTGCAGATCTTGCTAAAGAGTTAACTATGGACTCATTTATGTATTCTTATGCCCCAATGCTTCATTAAGTATTCTTATTTCTGCAACATAAAATTATTTCTTACCATCTTCTATTGTTTCCTCTGTTTTTATCAGTTATTCAGTGAACACCACATAAAATTATTTCTTACCATCTTCTATTGTTTCCTCTGTTTTTATCAGTTATTCAGTGAACACCACATGTCACATGAATTTTTGACTACTTGTCTACAGGTAATTGGTTAGAATCAGTTTCTTGAGTTTGCTTGCTTAGCATGTAATATTTCACACTCACTAATTGTATTATTTCACGGTTGGCAATTGTTAGAATCAGGTCTTGAGTTTGCTTGCTTAATCGTCCCTGTGTAATTGCTCACCAAGCTCGCCAATTGTGAGTTTGTCCCACACAATGGAGTTTCTATGAATTTTTGTAGTCCAAAATTCTTGGAAATTCTCTTGTTGCTGTTATAATGTGGGTGTGTTCGGCTTCCTTCTTCATTAAAGGTGAGTCCTTTCTTTCAGGTTGGCCAACATGTTGTTGTTTTTGCTGGAAAATAATTCGTTATGCAATTATGGTTAGGTTGTCCTTTTTCCTTCATAACTGCGTTTAATGGGTAGCGGGTAGCTGTTATGCTCACTTTGCTCAAAGCAAGGTTGTGTAGCCGTGCTATTTTTGTGCTTTAAGAAGTAAGCCGACACCAAATCAGTAATCCTGTGCTTCTGCTTTGTTGGCCCAAAGTCACTTAAGTTTTTTTCGTGTTATCTTTACTCTTTAGCCATTCCAAAACATTTATCTGATTTTGCAGTATTGCAGACCATAGAATTACAAGTTGGCCATATTTTTGAATGTGTGAACCTCACATAGATGTCGTGCGAATGCAGTTTGACAGGAGTCGTAAAACCAATGGATAAGAGACTGTTTGATGGTGAAAGAATGTATGCTCGTGGTGACTACCTCAAGTGTGCCAGAGTAAGAATTTGTCACAATTTAGTTTAAGAAGACTATATTATTGTTCTGCAATATTACATGCTTATTACATGAAGAGGACCCATTTGGCAACACTTAAATCATTTTATGGCGCCTTTGTTTCTGATCTACTCCCTCCGTCCCAAAATTCTTGTCTTACATTCATCTAGATACGGATGTATCTAATACTAAAATGTGACTTGATACATCCGTATTTAGACAAATCTAAGACAAGAATTTTGGGGCAGAGGGAGTACAAAACAACTTTTACCCAGGCTTGTTATTTCTAATTCATTCTTTTTCCCTGCTTGCTTATTATAACACAAGCCATCATGACTACTATCAATCATACACACCTTTTCGATATACTCCCTCTGTCCAAAAAAGCTTTTCCCAAGCTTGTCCCTCAAATGGATGTATCTACTATATACGGAGCAAAATGAGTGAATCTACACTAAAATATGTCTATATACATCCGTATGTAGTCCTTGTTGAAATATCTAAAAGGACTTATATTTAGGAACGAGAGGAATATACATTTACTATTTCAAGTTTTCAACCATAACTTATTGAATGAAATTGTAAGCATCTGCAAATTGGTCACCGATTATAATTACAAAGAGGATTTTATATAGGCCCTATTTTCATTTTGATCTGTTCATGACACCCTTGCATTAATATTGTAGACATTGCCTATTCATCTTCAGATGTTCTGTTCAGTGCAAATGCTACATGTATGTGCTTATTACGTCAGCATGGGTGATATGTTTGATGCCCGTATAGAGATGCTACTTTATTTTATAGTTCATCTTTTCCGGTCATTTCTTAATAATCTCCATTATTATTAATGAAATGGCACCATAATCCGTCATATGGTGGTAGGAAATGTGGTTACATGGAATTCTGTATCTTCTTAGATAAAGGACTATTATAAAATAAAATATGTATATGAATTTCGATATCTCTTGGTTATTTTATATATACATTACATATTATTTCTAACCAATTTCTTGGTATTTACTTAAGGTATGTTTGTTTGGGCTGCAATTTCCATGGCTGCAGCTGAAGGAGCGGCTGTAGCTGGTGATGAAGAGAGGCACTTTGCATTTGCCCACCAGAAGTACAGATCGGTAAAGTACAGAGAAGCTTCAGAGCATGGCAACATTGTTTATGAGAAGATCACGACAAACTACTTTTTGGAGTTACTACTATCAGTTTATGACTTGGTGCTAGCTGAAGCTTCTATTTTCTACCCAAACTGCTATTAACACAAAAAGTTAATGGTATTTCATAACTAATGGATTGAGCAGCAACTCTAGCGATCCAGGATTTTATCCTAAGCTGCTATTAAACTCACAAGAGGGAGCATTTTAATAACAAAAGAACTCTAGCCATGCTTTTTGATATACTACGTATACGTATGATGTACTAGCAGTTCCTATTTTGTAACTATTGCGTATTAGAAAATTGAATTGGCAATGTATTCATAAATATGATGTATTAAATTATGTCCTGAGAGGGATTTGTTCATTTTCAAAACTAAGTTGGATGAGCTTAAATCACTTTCACCAGTACAAGTTAAATATGCTTTTAAAATTCTACTAGTACAAATGCCCATGCGTTGCACCGGACGAAATATTAAATATAACTTGGTCTACGTGCAATTATGAAACACGTTTTTAATCTAATTTTTGCAAACGTCAGAAATAAGGTTACACCTAGTATTTCTTTTTGGACCATGAAATTTGGACATACCCTAATAGTGTTTGTCATGACCTATTTCAGCTCCACACTTTCATTTCATCCGATGAAAAAGTAGTAGTGTATGAAAGTCTTTCAATCAATTTTTAGTTGTTGTTCAGAAAAACATGAATATGTTTTTTAGAAGGTGTTTTTTTAATTTCAATAATATTTTTTAAAATAGAATCATTTTGATGGTGACGAACATTTTGTTGGAATATTATATTTCATTTGTAATTTATTTTGCACTATTTTTTGGGCTTGGTCCATTGAAAGACTTACTGACATACACATAGACAACACCCATATGAACTCGATCTTTCTTCCTGTTTCCCATTCTTCTTCCCCTCTGTTAGGACAGCGCCGACGCCACCTCCCTTGTCCCGTCATTCTCGAAGGACGAGGCCAAGAAGAATAGCGCTTCCAGCGGCCGCACCGTTGTCCTCCGCCCGTGCCACCATATCAACAGGACCTTGGGCGGCTCCCTCTACCTTCCTATTCTCTCCCACCCATCTGGAGTAAGAAAGCCGACCATGGTGAGCTTGCCATGGAATTTAGGCGGCTCCACTGTCCACATTATGTCAGGCAATGTCATTGGCAATTGGGGGAAATCCATATATGAGAACATCAGACATCTCATTTCCTCTTTCCTTACATCCCACATAAAGCGGAGCTTCAGAATTACAGTACCGTGGATATTTTCAAACTGAATAGACCGTATAGAGATGGTACCAAGAAAATATTATAGACAAAGGTTTTCCCACATCCATGACAACAGAGCAGTCAGGTGACCATCTTAGAAAGTGCCTGACTAATGACATTTTTTCCACAACCAAAAGCACCAAATAGCACCATGTTCCTCCAAAAACTGAGGGGAGCGATACATCACACACGCTGGAGCCATTTCAAATTAGATGAGCGCCCTCGCCAACGGTGGCTGCGGTATGTCCATCTGATCACAACGCGTTCGGACATGGTCAATTCCATGGCGATGGGATGACATCCACCACACGCCTTGCTCGTCGCGCTCCTCTATGTTGATGTTTCGGAGCCTGACAGCATGGAGCAGGCTAGACTCTGAAGCACATCAACTCTGGTAGATTGACGTTTTGGAGCCTGACACCATGGAGCAGGCTAGACTCTGAAGCACATCAACTCTGGTAGATTGACGTTTTGGAGCCTGACACCATGGAGCAGGCTAGACTCTGAAGCACATCAACTCTGGTAGAGCCGTTAGAGGGATGCACTGCTGATACCATGCGCCAACATACAACAGCAAGAAACAGGTGCATTCAAACGGCCTCACATACCAAATTATTTTCCCTTTCAATACACACTCTTTGTGAGCTTGTCATAGTAAAAAAAAAAAGGGCAACCTGGTGCATGTAGCTCCCGCTTGCGCAGGGTCCAGGGAAGGGTCCGACCACTTTGGGTCTATAGTACACAGCCTTTCCCTATATTTCTGTAAGAGGCTGTTTCCAGGACTTGAACCCATGACAAAAAAAATACTTGAAACCAACGGGAAGCAAAAATAATAATTACATGATTTAGAATTGTATATAGGTCAAACCAATTGAAGTCTATAAGTGCAGCTCTAAAACCCAAGTATTGAAACTTCAATGGGAGAGCATACATAATATTAGAGACAAACCTAAAAAAATATGGATGCCATGGTTACCTTGGAGGAAAAAAAATCATATGAAGCTTTATATTCCAAAATCATCGATCTCTCCCTTCTGAAACACATCAAACAGAACCTGTATAACATAACTACTACATACAACTATCTTATTTTTGCATTGGCAGATTCCTCAAAATCGTAGTACAGAGCTAGCAAGAAAAGATTATACACACTATATAATAATCATGATTTTGAAAAATCTGGAAGTTGGTAAAACAAAAAATACAAATGTATTAGGAAATATCAGTAGTCAGTCCTCGTACCTTTGCTTGAGCATGATACACATTACAATTAGATATACCAGGCAAGTAATCTTAAATTCATTGCTTAGTTTATTCATAAGAAACAAACATTACTTCATCTGAATCATCTCCACCAGAAACATAAACAAAATCCATTGGCTAACATGGGGTGCCTTAAAAAATAACTGTAACGCCTCCTCTTAACATCAAACTGAACTTGCTGCATGGTAGTTGATGGTAGATGTAGAGAAAGCAAGCTTGCTGCAGGGTGCTATTGATAGAGATGCAGGGTGCCATTGAAGGAGATGCAGACCAGTTGGTTCTGTTCCGCTCCATACAACGCAGTCTGGTGATCTATAGTAGAACATAGAAAACACTTTTTTCTTGAATCTGACATTGTACATCAAGCCAAATTAGTGGGGCCTCTGTGATAAATCCAACAGGCTGGAGTACACACGCTCTCTGTCGCCATCGTCTTCCTCTCCGCATCAATCTTCTCCACCCTCTGGACACAGATTTCTCCAACACGCTCGTAGGCACAACACCAAACAGGTGATGCTCGTGGTTCGTGGCTAGTAAAAGCAGAGGTGCGCACCAGAGGCTGGCCGGGCGGTGCGAAGATGCGTGCAACGGTACAAGGATGGCTCAGCAGCAGGGCGGACGGGGCACAGGTGGCTGGCCCGCCGCTCGGTCCCCAGCCCGCACGGCCGCGCGGGACTCCCGCACCGGCGGCAGCCCCAAGGGCCTCCAAGCCGATGCTCGACCCGGCACGGGGGAGGGGCTGGCCCCGAGGAGCGGGGAGCCGGCGAATCCATCGGCTGGGAGCTGGGCGGCGCCCTCCATCATTGCCGTGGGAGGGGCTGGCCCCGAGGAGCGGGGAGCCGGCGAATCCGTCGGCCAGGAGCTGGGCGGCGCCCTCCATCATCGCCGTCGTTTGGGGAGGGACGCGGTCCCGGTCGAGGCGGTGTGGGGCGGGCGGCGCGGGGGCAGGAGATGGCGGCGGGATGGAGGTGGAGATGGAATCGAGGAGGCCTGGGCGGTCGTTTTTTTTTCTTTTCTCTCTTCGGTACTGGTTCGGGTCTGATGACTTATGAGGGGACTGCTGGTGCAATTTCTATAAAATAGGAGAGCCTTTGTGTAAAAACGCCGCGACGGTGAATAAACCAAACTCAACACGCGCTTTATTATCTTTTCCTAATATATCTTTAATCTTTCCTTAACCTTTCCCTAATATATACTCTCTCCGTCCCGAAAAACATGTCGCAGTGACATTTTTACGAAAACCCCCTCTGCGAATTCCCGACACAACCCGCGGTCCCTGGTCGTCTCCCTCGCAGCCTCACTCGTCTCCCCTGTGCGCCGGAGCCCTCCCTCTCGGCTCCCCCCGCGCTGGAGCTCCCCTGCTCGGCTCCCCTGCGCGTCGCCGGAGCTGCCTCGCCCCACACCCCCACCGCGTTGCTTCCCTCTCCTTGTTCCCTTGCTCGTTCCCCATGGTGAACCACGGGAAGGAGAAGGCTTGATTTTTTTTCTCGATCTGCTCTCCGACGGCGGCGGCCGGCCTTCCCCGAGCTTGGCCAGCTGGAGCTGTCCCTTCCAGTTGTCGATCTGCTCTCCGCGACGCCTCCTGCCTTCCCGGACCATCCCCTCTCACTCAGCCGCGACTCCCTCCCTGGAGCAGCCGTTCCCGCCCGACCCAAAGCCGCCGGTCGGAGCTACGCCGCAGCACGCTCCCTCCCCCCTCTTCTTGGGGACCGGATTGTGGCCGAGGAGGAGCTTGTCCTTGTCGCCCAGCAGCTCCCGCTCCAACGGGCTCGTCCACAAGTCCGGCAGCACCAGCCGCTCTTCCCTCTTCCGGTCCGCCCTCCTCCCTCCCCTCCCCTCCCGTGGCATGCTCTATTCTGTTATCTTCCTTCTTTCTTTGTCCTGATGATTTTTACTGACGGAGTTGTACACATAGGCGACCCAAATCCAACATTTTAGTAAGATTTGTACTGTCTCAAAATTCATCCATGAACTCTGACTCTGAAATTAGTACTGTCTCAAAGTTCAATAAGATTTGCTCATTGTTGCGCAGTACTGAATCATGGATTATATTGTGGCTCTGCAGGTCTAGCCCATCGACGACGACGGCTCCTCCTCATGCTCATCGGACTCGTGCACAAGTGCTCTGCAAGTCTGCATTGGGTAAAGTCTGAATTTTTCATTTTTACTACCGTCAAAATTCAGTTGTCAAAGAAAGTGCCATCAACATGTCAATGGCCATGCTAGACAGAGTTCTTATTCATGTCTAGGCAGAGTTCTTATTTATGACAAAACTGGATGTCTAGACAGAGTTCTTATTCATGTCTAATTGTGTTGACAGAGTTCAATGTACTCTGTCAATAGAATCAAAACTGATTTATTACCTTCCCATATGAACTTTACTGAAAAAATCAGTCACCATTCTGAATTTTGACAGTACTCTACAAACTGCTTCTGGGCAGGAAGCAAATACAGTTTTTCTTGGTGGGCGTGGTTTTGGAACAGCCATGTCTTCTCTAATTTTGACAGTGCTTGAGTTTAGAGTATGGTTATACTTTTGCTTAGGGTAAGTTAACACGTCTCTTTCTACAATTTTTAAATGCTTCTTGTCAGGAAGGGAATTATGTTTGTAAGGATAGTGTATTTTGCAAAGGCTTTTGTACTTGCTGTTTTGCTTGACTCCATCAATCCTCAAAGATTTCTTGTTTCTTTGGAGTTTCAGATACTAGATGTCTGTCTTGTTAGTGCATGCAGTTTTAGATAATAGATGAACTGAGAGAGAGAGAGAGCATAGGTGATCTTTAATAATAACAGTAAAAAAGGAAAATCTATCTTCTGCAATGTGTGTAAGCTGGTTATTGCCGGCCGGTGATATTTGTTGAAGAATAGAACGTGAGAGGTCATTCCCAACATGGGTCGATATCAAGGAGGGGCTATCTCCATCTATCTGTGGAGCTGGATACAGATGGGAGATGGCAAAATCGTTTTGGTTAGGCGTCAAGTCAACATCGGTAATGTCGTTGGATGAATGCAGAGCAGAACAGTGTAGACGTGCACGCACATATTCAGTTAAACTTGGACATGACTGCAGCCCATTTAAACTTGGACTACAGATATTGGATGGATCCATTTAAATTGATAGAAAACTGAATATTCACTGTAGTCTCAGTTAACTGAATTTTCTGAAGCCATTTTCCTGCTCACAAGTTGACAGAAAACTGTTTGAAACAAATTTTGACAGTAGCAATAACCTATCTTTGGAGTAAGTCATTTTATTTAGTAAAGTATAGAAAGTATTGTTTCTTGCAAATTATTGTGTGACTATTCTGGAGATGGTCTTTAAGTGTTCCTATCTAGACTTTTTATTTTAGGCTTTAAGCTGATCCATTCCATGAGATATGCTAGATTTTAGCATCTGTATTGATGAACCTTTGATGAAACTAAGAAAAACTGGAAGTGTCCTTGATAGCATGAAATGGACCTCTTAACTAAATAAAACCAATTATTGACACGGAGTATTTAGGACAATCCATGAGGTTTTCTTAGATGCAAAAAAGTTCTGTTTGTTGTGTGCATCACAAATTTAGTTTTAGTTCCAGTGAAGTTTCCTGTCCTTTAGGTTTATTCTTATCAGAAACAAATTCAACTAACCAAATTAGCTGTTGCCTATCATTTTGGTATTGCCTAGGTGACTGGGTATATAATGGAAATAAATTGAAAAAGAAGAAAAAAATGCATTCTTCTTATAAATGAGTGTAGCTGCAAATGTTAGACATACTCCGCCAAGTACAGTAGTGTGCATATCTTTGAAACATCTTGGAAAATATGCAGAGTAGCTGTTGATGTTGATCTCCAGCATGTATGCAGAGTAGTTGTTTACTGAATTTTAGGAGTAAACTGACTGAACCAAATTTTAGAATGACTGAATTTTCAGCCAAGTTTGTTTCTGAACAGTACTAACATGGAGCGGTGTAGTGGCCATGTATAGTAGTGTAGTGGCCCTGCAGTGACCAAAATTTTCAGATTATTCTGATTAATTCAAATTAATCCAAATAAATTCCAACAAGGAGTTTATATACAAGGATTAGACAAGGCATACAACATGCATTTGTGTAACCAACATGCATGCATTTGAATTTGAATGATTCAAATAACTGAATTTATATGTACTCCACTTTATACCCAAGCTTTCATTAAGTAATTTATGTTTGTTTATTTTTGTTTTTTCTCTGCAGGAAATACTTTGGCATGGAGTACATTGTGGCTCTGAAATCATTTCTGAAGCAGTGAGATTTGAAGTTTATGCTAGAATTGAAGTGTTTGTTTCCTAACTATAGGTATGCTCATCCAGAGAAGTGTTTTCAGAAACTTGTCCATATTCTCCTTTTTCAGTTAGTTTTTCCCACAATTTGGGAAGGAGCAACAGTCAGCAGTCTTAATGTTTTAATATGTCTGAAACAATTACTCCCAAAGGAAACAAACACTTCAATTTATCATCATTTTGGAAAGAACCATGGTAAATGTTTGATCATGCTTTTTTCCGTTAGTTTTTCCCACATTTTGGAAAGAACCATGCACAAAGGAAACAAACACTTCATTTGATCATCATTGGAGTATTTGCAAACAAGGCAATTGCTTAAATTTACTCAAGGCCTTGCTATTAATTGAAAGCTTTTAGTTAACAGTAAATCAATTTCACAAATTGTCAGGTAGCAGTACTCTGATGGAGTACCTTCTTCAGAGTGCAAATAGCACCAGCAGCAGCAGTCACGGCGGGAGTCAACAGCAACAACAGCAACACGGCACGGATCAGCAACAAAAGCACAGGCAGAGGAGCAGTAGCATCAACACGGGAAGAGGAGCAGCAGCAGCACGGGTTAGCTCCACCGGTGGCAGGGGAGAAACAGAGGAGAAACAAGATGCAGCAGCACGGGCTAGCACCACCGGCAGGCACGCAGGCAGAGAAGGAGCACCACGGTAACGCGTGGGAGCTCGACGAGGACTCGCGGGAGACCACGGAGGACGCGCGCGAGCTCCTGTCCACCGGATCGTGGAGGCCGGCTCCGACGATACCCGTAGGTGGATCGCGGTGGCGCACGGGAGGCAGCTCAAGGTGGACTCGCAGGAGCACGAGGAGGACTCGCGGGAGCTCGAGGACGATGAGAGGGAGCTCCTGCTCCACCGGATCGTGGTTGAAATTCCAGCGACGCCCGCAGGTAATCGCTGCGGGATGGGATCGCGGCGGTGGCGGAGTAAGTACTTGGCGACGCGGCGGTGGCGGAGTAAGTACTTGGCGACGGCGGCGGCGTTGAAGGTACATGGCGACGGAGGCGGAACACTTCCTGGTGGGCTGCAAATCGCGCAGCTTGGCGGCGCTGCCGGCCCCTGGAGACGCACGGGCGACGACGGAGGAAGAAGACGGGGTGGAGGGGCTTGTTTGTGATTGTTTTGAAACTACGAGGGCTTTTTTATAAAACTGGCAATGAACTACACCTGTGACGTGTTTTTCAGGACGGAGGGAGTATATATAATAATAAAGCACGGATTGACTCCGTGGGTTCACCGTCATAATACGCTTTTTCTCGTGAATTTACGCTTTCAGTTTTTTCACCTATATTATTTTCTATATCCGAGGTGGTACTATTTTACCTGCGTATCTATACCTAATACGTGTCAATAAAAGTGAGACAGGCCTGGTAAAAGACTCTTCGTGAGCGAATCAACCTGTTGTTGAGTTGGTTAGGTGGACAGTGGTATCCCCAACCCACCAGGGTTCAAATCCTGGTGCTCGCATTATTCCTGGATTTATTTCAGTATTTCCGGCTATGCGCTTTCAGTGGGAGGAGATGTTCCCGTCGACGACGAGGCGCCTATGGTGACTTCGTAAATCTCAAGATGATATGC